ATCGGGTGGAGCGGCGGTCCAACTCCACGCTAGAGGCCGAGCAGTCGAGCAAATAACCGAAGGATAGATGGTCGAAGGACGGGCCCACAGACAGAGACACGCCGGAGGCCAAAGGTAGGGCGGCGGCCAACATGGGGCGAAGGGCCGGTGGAAGAAGGAGGAAGGCGAGGGTGGCGGCGGCGAGGGTGGCGGCGGAGAGGGACGCGGCGAGGGCGGCGGCGGGAATGGCGGCGGAGGCGAGGGCGGTGACGGCGAAGGCGGCGGCAGCGAGGGAGTTGGGGGCGAGGGCGGCGGAGGGCTGGGCGGCGGTGGACTCGGGGGTGGTGGCGACGGCGGTGGTGGTAAAGGAGGTGGCGGCGAGGGCGGCGGAGGCGACGGTGGTGGTAGGGATGGACCTGTCAGAGCACGACCTGTCAGTGGTTGATCTCTCGCTCGAGGACGCGGTCTCGCACGCCGCGCCGGCGCGTGTGTCGGGCGCGTGTCTACAAGTACCTGAGGCTGAGCACACGACACACAGAACACACGCGCGCACGAGATGGCTAGTCGCACAGATCACAGCTAATGCATCGAGTGTTTGTCTACTGATGTGCAGCTTGAGCGGCCCACACTCACCGACTGCCCACGCCGTGCCGAGCGCCTGCTACTCCGGCCAGTGCGCCTCTCCCGCCGAGCCGCCGCCCCGGCCTCCTACCGCCTACCGCACTACTGCTCCATCCGAGCAGCCCCGTACCCCCTCTCCGTCCAGTACTCGCTCCAGTGCCCGTCGTACTCGGTGTAGATGTTGCCCAGAGCGACGGCGAGCGGGGCCAGCCCTGGCCGCTCCACGAGCGCCTCGAGCGCGCGTGTCTGGCGGTCCGCCTCGTCCTCCAGCTGCGCAGCGGTGGGCATCGGAACTCCCTGGGCCCGCGCCCGGCCGCGTCGTGTACTCGCGCAACCGCCCGCAATACACGGCGCCGTCGCTGCCGGACCCGCTCGTGGTCGCCGCCGCGGGCGCGACCAGCTCGAGCCGCACGTCGGCCAGCCGCAGCTGCTCCGGCGGCCCGCTCGCTGCCCTCTCGGCCCGCCTGCTGTACGGGCCGATGGAGCGCCACGGCCACTGCGTCGGCTGGTTGCAGACGGGGCACGGCACGAGGCTCGCCTCGGTCACGCGCCGCAGCTCGGCCTGCAAGTCGCCGTCGGCGGGCGGCCCGCCAGAGGCCGCTCGGGCGATCCGCTGCGCCTGCCTTTCCGCGCAGGGCTGGCACACGACGTGGTAGCATGGCCCGCGGAGGATGTGGTAGACGGCCTCCTCCTCCTCGCTCGGTGCTCGGAGCTCGAGGCTGCAGTGGTACTCCAATGGGGCACGACGAGCCGAGCTCCGGCGCGACGGCGCCGCCCAAGCAGGCGGAGCTGCTCCACGAGGCAGTCCAGCGCGTCCAGCTCGGCGCGCTCGACAGATGGGTACGCGGCGGCGTGCCTGCCGAGCGGGCCGGCGCGCAGGTCAGGGCCTCGACGCGCGCGCGGGGCGCGTGTCCGCGTGGAAGGGCTGCGGGGGCGCGCGTTCGCGTGTGTGCGGCACGCCGGGGCGCGTCAATGCGGTGGCGGGTGTGACGGACTGTGCGCGGGTGGTGGCGGGCGGGTGGTGGCGCCGGAGCCGCAGAGGCGTCGGAGGCGCGGCGGCGGCGGCGAATGCAGCCGGGGCGGGGACGCTGCGCACCACAGCAGGAGCTGGCCGTCCGAGAGGCCCCGCAGGCTCCGCGCTCGGCGCAGCAGCCGCGGCGTGTGCGCGGCCGAGACGGCCACGCCGCAAAGAGGGCAGAGATGCTCGACTCGAGCGCGCTCCACCCACGGCAGCCACATCTCCAGCGACATAGTCGGCGAGCTGCCAGAGCGGAGGCCCGCTGCACGGCGAGCCAGCGCCAGGCGGGCAGCGCCCGCTCCGACCCGAGCGCCTCGCCCCAGTGGCCCGCGCAGCTGCGGATGCCGGGTCTTGCTCCAGCCGGGTGAGCGGGCCGCCGGCATATGTTGAGGAAGCTCGCTCCACGCTGGGAGGCTGTCCGGAGGTTGGAAATCGACCGCGTCGGTGGTCTTCATCCCGGCGCTCGGGCGTAGCGCCGACGGGAGCGAGAGAAAGA